CCTGTAATCCTAGCTACTCAGGAGACTGAGATCTGGTGATCTTGGTTCAAAGCCAGCCCAGACATGAAAGTCCGAGAGACTCTTATCTCCAATAACCACCAGAAAACCGGAAGTGGTGCTGTGGCTCAAGTGGTAGAGCACTAGCCTTGAGTTGAAGAGCTGAGGGACAGCACCCAGGCCCAGAGTTCAAGCTCCACGACTGGAATAAAAAAGTGATATGTAAATTTAATGCAAACTCCATCAAAATTCTAATGTTATTCCTCACAGGAATAGAAATAAAAGTCATATAGAAACACAAAAAGTCAGAATAGCCAGAGCAATCCTGAGCAAAACAAGACCAACGCTAGGCAAATCGTAACATCTGATTTCAAACTACATTACAGAGTCAAAGTAGCAAAAAGTCTCACTAAGTAGCCCAGGCTAGCCTAGCACTCATGACCCTCCCGCCTCAGTCTCTCAAATGCTGGGATTACATGTGTGTACTACAACGTTTAACCGGTCAGTAGTTTTAAATAAGTAATTGTTCTCCCCTATCTATCCCAGAAATAATCATGAATCCTCTGTCACTGCCCTTGTCTTCACAGAAATACTTGTCGAAGAGGTGCCCCAACTCTCCCTGCCATGCCCCTTCCCCTGACATAGCAATGCTTACTCTCAGGATTTATCACGTTCTTACCAAGCAGACCGTGTCAGTTTCCTGCTGTATGTGACTGCCGCATCCCGTCTTCCGGGGTTTGTGTAGGGGACAGGGGTCAAGGTCTTTCACGGAGATTCTCCTCAGGATACTCATTGTCATGTGATTTCCTGTCTGGACCATGCAACAGAGAGCCCAAGAATTATGAACAAGAAGCTTGTCTCTCGAGTCAACACAGCTGCCACTCATGTATCCAAATCGGAATCAGGTTCTAGCAAGTGTTCCTATGAAAGAAATCTCTTCCAGAGATATCGGAATCTAGATCTGAGTTTTCCCTGAAAATTACCTTTGCTTTGACCTTGATTGAGTCAACAGGCTGAGAACAATTCACCCTTTCTCCACATCTGGATTAGATCTCTTCCTTCCTTCCTTCCTTCTTTCCTTCCTTCCTTCCTTCCTTCCTCCTTCCCTCCCTCCCTCAGTCCCTCCCTCCTTCCTTCCTTCCTTTCTTTCTTTTCTTTTTCTTCCTTTCTTTCTTCTTTCCCTCTCTTCCTTCCTTCCTCCTCTTCCTCTTTCCCTGCTTCTTTATATTTTTCTCCTTATCTCTCTTCTTTCCTTCTTCTTTTCTCTCTTCCTTCCTTTTCTCTTCAACTTTCAAGAATGACAAGAAACACAGATAGCTTCCACTCCTCTGTCCACAGTAAGCTCTAGTCTGGAGAATAATGTCCCCTCCCTTCACCCCTACAATCCCCTCATATGGTCTGTCCTTTGTCTATGCACTTCTAGTATGAATATAGGCCTGAAGATAAAAGGCCCAGTGTACTACATATCAGAAAAGCCACGGAAAGGGAAAGCCCTGGGATTCCTGGCTATTGGATGAGGCTTCTAGCCCAAGTCTAGAACCTTAAGCAATCTGAATGATTATCTTCAGTGCCCCCAAAACAATTCATCCAACTCTCACCCCTACACACACACACACACACACACACACACACACACACACACACTGGCAGCACACACACTGGCAGCACACACACAGCCTCCTCTAGGAGAAGGATTGCATTAACTGCAGACGTGGGGTTCCATCCTGCCACCCAGCAGTTGTGCAAGCCTGGCGGCAAATGCAGTTTTCTACTCAGGAAGCAGATGGATTGGACCAGGTCATCAAAATGCATCGCCGAGTCTGTCCTCAACAAGGCTATGTTATGAATCATTGAGTGGTTATCAAAGTCTTCGTGGATGATGATGACATTGATGGGGTACTCTGTATGAGAAACCATTTTGGGATCCATGTTGGCTATACCAACCACAGCAATAACGTTCTTCCTAGAGACAGATGGACAGATAGACAGACACAGACAGACAGCAAAGGCATTTTGAGAACACAAGGTAACAAGAAGACTCCAGAAGACCCTGTTATCACATTCCTCATTGTTTCAACCCATATATTCATCCAACTCAGCTTCCCTGGGTAAATTGTTGCCTACCCTTTTGAACTTGAGCTTCAGGAAATTCTTTTTTTGGAATCCTTAGACTTGCATCCCCTGCTCCCAGCAAGAGAACTCCCAAGAGACCTTGGGGATTCTTCTATCTTAACACTGTTCATTTCACTACCCAAAGATAATCTGTTCACATGTTACCGTGGGTTAACTTTTCTATGAATATTTTGGGTTTTCTTTTTCTTTTTGATCGATGTTGGATTTTTTTGTTTGTTTTTTGATGGTGCAGGGCTTTTGGACTCAGAGCCCCTCACTTGTCAGACAGACTCTCTACCTTTTGAACCATGCCCTCAGTAGTTTTCTATGTAATTGTTTTGGAGACAAGGCCTTGCTTTTCTATAGAGGCCAGCCTGGAATATGATCCTGCTATTTATGCATAGCTTGAATGACAAATGCGTTCCATCATGCCCAACTATTGGTTGGGGGAGGGGGTTCTTACTTTTTGCCTGGGCCACCCTCAAACTGTTGTTCTCCTGATCTCTGCTTCTGTCCCCAGCAGAATAGTGTGTGTGTGTGTGCGCGCGCGCGCGTGTGTGTGTGTGTGTGTGTGTGTGTGTGTGTGTAGAGATGGAGATGAGATAGAGATAGAGATGATAGATATTAGATAGGTAGGTAGATAGATAGATAGATAGATAGATAGATAGATAGATAGATAGATAGATGCTGGGCACCAGTTGCTCATGCCCATAATCTTTATGAAGCTGATATCTGAATATAGTGGTTTGAAGCCAGCCTGGCTGAAACATATGCGAGACTTCCCAATTAATCAATTAATCTCCAAATAATTCATTCAATTCATTTCCAAGTAAGCAGAAACAGAGCAAGACTGGAGATATGAGGTCACAGTTTGAGGCCAGCTTTGGAATAAAGATAACAAGACTCAATAGGCACTTGGCTTACAGGCTTGTAATCTTAGCTACTTAAGAGGCTGAGATCTGAGGATCTGGGTTCAAAGTCAGCTAAGGCAGAAAAGTCCATGAGACTCTTATCTCCAATTAACCACTCAAAAACTGGAAGTGGTGCTGTGGCTCAAGATGGTAGAGTTTTGGCCTTGAGCAAAAGAGATCAGGGACAGCACCCAGGCCCTAAGTTCAAGCCCCACGACCAATACAAAAAAAGAAAAGGTAGCAAGATTCAATCTTAACCATGGATGAGAATAGGAATGGTGGATCACATCTGTATTTCAGGCATAATTAGGATTATAGTCCAAGGCCATCCCCAAGCAAAGCCAGGAGAACTCTAGCTCAAAAATAAGAAAAAAAGAAACCCTAAAAACTTAAAGCAAATAAGGGCTGGGGGTATGACTTGCCTAACAAGCACAAGGCCCTAAGTTCAAATCCCAGTACCACTAAAAAAAAAAAAAAGGATATAACTTACAAAAGGTTTTTCCTTACAAAAAACTTAAATCTACCACTTAATTCTACCACAGCAAACATTTAAAATGTTACAGAAAAATCAACACTGAGACATATCCTGGTAAGGTCCCAATTGGAAACAGATGGCACACTCAAATCAGTAGATTGGAGGAGTTCAATTTATTTTATAAGAACTTTTTTTTAAGGGGAGGGATTATTTATTCCAAAATTCATGGTTTCAGAGTCCATGCTTGCCTGGCCCTGTGTGCCTGGACAGCACGTGATGGTAGCCGGAGCATGTGGAGGAAAAGCTATTTCACCTTGTAGTGAGCAGAAGCAAGAAGGACCTAATAAGGGACTCATGAGCAATATTGTAGCAGGATGCAGAGGTCACAACAGGGTTCTGAGCCCGCCTCTGGGCTCCAGGGGAAAGGAGGAAGCCATTCTGCAGGACCTCTCCAGGGAATAAAGTCCTGGACTTTACTCTTTCTTCTCCTTTTGATCTAGGACTCCCATTGGCTAAAGCCAACCAGAACCAGAGAGAGCATTCATGTATCCCACACAGGTCAACCTGCAGGGACCTAGCAGGAGGGAAAGAGTAGAGAAGGAATCTGGACGGATCAATCCAACATGAAGGAGGAAGCCTTGGGCATGCAGACCAACAAAAATTAAATCATCCAGAGGTCAACCATGTAATGTATTGTCTAAGCCAGTGAACATATGCAAATGAGAGGGGGTGTTAGTGTCAGGAAGCTGGGAGAGACAACAGATGTTGAACAGGCTTTTCCTGGTACACGAGGCTATATGGTCACCCTACCCAAAGAAGGGAAACAAGAATAACATTGGGCTAGGGCTAGCGGCTCACGCCTGTAATCCTAACTACTCCGGAGGCTGAGATCTGAGGATTGCAGTTCAAAGCCAGCCTGGGCAGGAAAGTCTGCAATTCTTATGTCTAATTAACCACCAAAAATCCAGAAGTAGAGCTGTGGCTCAAGTGATAAAGCACTAAGCTTGATCAAAAAAAATTCAAATACAGTACCCAGGCCCCAAGTTCAAGCCCCAGGAGTAGCGTGTGTGCACGCACGCACACACACACACACACACACACACACACACACACACAATCAGACTGTCCCACAGTAAGATGAATACCAGAAGCCAAGAGGGGTGGGTGGAAGGCGGAGTGGAGTAGGAGTAGGGTGCAGTGACATCTAGAAAGTTCTCAGAAAGAAAGGAGGTATAAACTGCATGCTCATTCAGGTATAAGGTCAGCACATTTCTGAATATGTGCAAAGACCCATGAAATGTTTTTTGCAAAAACTACTTGAAGACAAACTTAGTCAAACTTAGAATCTAATGGAGCAAATCCAGCAAAAAGACTGTCAAGCAGTGTGAACCTCATTATAACACTAGCCTAAAATTAGAACAAAACCTGTAAATCTGTTATAGATTGGAGTAAAAATGAAAAATGGAAAAAAACCCCACAATAATCAAATAGTAGGAATGAAGTTGGAAAGTCAGAGGTAGATGTTAATAGACCAATTTCCTAATCTTTATAGAAATCTACACATACAAAAAGATGAACATATATAGCTAACATGAAGAATACATGTGAATATGTAAAGGAATCAGGATGAATGTTAAAAAATATATTAAATGCTTTAACAATTTTTTTATGAGTGTGCTGGTATTGGGGTATGAACTCAAAGCCTAGGTATTGTCCTTTAGCATTTTTGCCCAAGGCTGGTGCTTAACCACTTGAGTCATAGCTCCTCTTCTGGATTTTGTGGTGGTAAGTTGGATATAAGATTCTCAGGGACCTTTTTGACCTGGCTGGCTTTGAACCATCAACCTCTTGAATAGCTAGGATAATAGGTGTGAGCCACCAGCTCACACCTATTTGGTTGAATTTGGTTGATGAAAGAGAAGAGAAATGAGAAGATATGACTCCTGGTGGTGGCCATAGTGAGTCCAGAAAGGGCTAGCCAGGGAGAACAGAGGCTTTGGTGTCTTACATGAAATTACAGCTCTAAAATAAAAAGCAGAATGAAAATGGACACTTTCCAAATATGTCCTAATTCATCTGTCATCAGAAACAACTACAGCAAATGTCACTTTGTGAACAATAAATTCACAAAGCATTCCTAAAATACAAAAAAAGTCTCAGGAGACACATTCTGAACCTCAAGACAGAACAGAGGGACACCAGGGAAAGACCAAGAAAGGATCTTAATGAAGATCAGAACTTCATCATTAAGTCATCAATGTCAATACTAAATGAAGTTAAAGTTATAAAATTTACCTCTCTCAGTCTAGGACAGATCAAGTAGATTTCCTCCCCCAATCTTATGAATTAAACTATATAAATGCAAGAACACAGGGAGCGTTTCTGTTACCTAGGGGAAATACTGAATGGACCATATAGAATAGAGCACAAAAATCACCTCAACAAAGTCCTAGTTAGATCACCATAACTCAAAATTTATGTTAGAAAACTAACACACTCTAACACCTGGATATTTTAAAACTTTGCTTTTAACAAAACCCTTGAGTTAAAAGAAAATCAAAAGCTGGGAGCCAGTGGCTCATGCCTGTAATCCTAGCTACTCAGGAGGCTAAGACCTAAGGATCTTGGTTCAAAAAGCCAGCCCAGACAGGGAAGTCCATGAGACACTTGTCTCCAATTAACTGCCAGAAAACCAGAAGTGGAGCTGTGGCTCAAGTGGTAGATGCTTGCCTTGTAGCTAAAGAGCTGAGGGACAGTTCCCAGAGTTCAAGCCCCATGAGAGAAGCAGAGAAAAAGAAAGGAAGGTAGGAAGGAAGGAAGGAAGGAAGGAAGGAAGGAAAGAAAGAAAGAAAGAAAGAAAGAAAGAAAGAAAGAAAGAAAGAAAGAAAGAAAGAAAGAAAGAAAGAGAAAAAAGAAAGTCAAAGCCAAAACAGTAGCCTTGGATCCCCAAAGATAGGACAGGGGAAGATAAGTAGTGAGAGACAATGGATGGAGGAAATACTTCTTACTGTGTAATACACTCAGCCACCTGAGTAACTAGGATTGCAAGTGTGAGCCACCAGTGCTCAGCTGAAATTATTTTGTTTCATTTTATCTCCACAAAGTAAAATCGCTGAGTTCCTTTTTTTGTTTGTGTAACCTACAATGTCTGGGGTAGTGACATTAGTAAGGCCCAGGCAAGTGCCTTAAAGAGGTCCTACCACGATAAGTGATAAGGCAGCCAGAGATTAAGACTCAGTGCCTAGCAGACATGGTGGTACACTCCTGTAATCCCAAATACTTGGGAAATGGAGGCAGGAGGACCATACATTTGAGGTCAAAAGGGGTAAAGTTATCAAGACATTGTCGCAAGAACAATATATAAACAAAAGGCCAAGAGGAACAATTGTCTAGCCTGGGCAAGGTCCTAGGTTCAACCAAACATTAAAACAAGCAAACAAACAAAACCTCTATGGTTGTAGAAAAATCAGAACTCGGATGGAGCACTCCTGTAATACCAGCCGAGGAGAGCTGAGGCAAATGGCAACTTACAGCCCATCACCCTGGGCTGTGTAGGGAGACACTATCTGGAAAGAAGAAAGAAAAGGAAGGAATAAAAGAGGGAGAGAATAACAGAAGGAAGGAAGGAAGGAAGGAAGGAAGGAAGGAAGGGAGGGAGGAAGGAAGGGAGGAAGGAAGGGAGGGAGGAAGAAAGGGAGGGAGGGAGGGAGGGAGGGAGGGAGGGAAAGATAAAAAGAAATGTCTTTCATGTTCAGAGTATCTGTAGTCCTCAGAACTCAGGAGTCCTGGCAGCTGGCAATTTAGGACCCCAAGCCCAAGGTCAGAGCAAGAAGTGCCCCTCCCATGTCTCACCCCCTTCCATCCTTCTGTCCCTCTGACCTGTTATGTAAGGCAGATGCAGCGCTGAGGATCCAGAAGTTGCTGAGGATGCAGCCAAAGGCCAGGTGGGTGTACTGTGCGTCCTGCAAGGACACCACCCATGGGAACTCGGTGATGCTCACCAGGTTCTCCTCCGATTTGTCCACTAATGTGGCTTTCTGGATACCGCACTCTGTAGAGGAAAGAGGATACCTGGCGGCACCAGCCCTCACCAGCCCTTACCAGCCCTCACCCCTTGTCCCCTGCTCATCTCTGACTGTCACCCCAGCTTTTCTGAGAAGCCCAGTTCTACTGGACTCCCTTTTCCCAACTCTCCAACTGCCTATATTTGCCCCAGGGAAGACAGATGCTAACAGATAATGTCTCAAAGATCCCTGCCTCCAACCAGTACTGGGATCATAGATCAAACAGAATGTTAAGATGTTAGAAAAGGAAGGTCCTTGATACTTGTCTGGTTAGAAAGGAGCATATCATGAATGAGGGGGAAATGTGTGACTATTAAAAATAAAACATATTTGGGAAAGGAAAGGAGGAGGGAGAGAGGGAGAGAAGAAGGAAGGAAGGAAGGAAGAGAGGGAGGAAGGGAGGGAGGAAGGGAGGGAGGAAGGGAGGGAGGAAGGGAGGGAGTGAGTGAGGGAGGGAGTGAGGGAGGGAGTGAGGGAGGGAATAGGGAAGGAGGGAAACATGTCTCTCAAGTCCTAGATGTGGTAAGCTGACCCCACTTTCCAGGCACCATTCATTAGATGGCAACTCCACTAACAGTTTTGCTCTTCCAGCTGCTGAACCTGCTGCCCCAATCCTCCCTCCCAGTCAGTACACCTTGCTTTGATGAGTCCTTCATGGCCTTGTTAGACCGGGGTGGGGGGATTGGGGGGGGGGCTTTCCTGCTGAAGCAGACTGAGTGCAGAGGTTCTGAAACCTGACTGTACATTGCATCCAACAGAATTCCGGACACAGCCTTTGTGAAAGACCCCAGAGCAGATTCTGGGGTGTATTTAGGAAGGGCCTGGATGCATGGTCTCAAGTCACCTTGGCCCCTCAGTGTGCTGTGAAATCTTCGGTATGAGTCATTGCTCTTCTCTGGGTCCCAGTTTTCTGTTTGAAATATGGGGGTTATAATCGTGGATGTGCACACTTCTGGGAGGTGGAATTGTGGGAAAGGCCTGGCATACTAAACGTCTGTGAGGAAACACACTAGAACTCCCAGAGCAGAGCGGACTGCATGCTTAGCCTAAGTCCCAAACAGTGGCCTTAGATTAGGGATGCCACATTGTCACATGGGACATCCCTTCCCCCCCCTCCCCTGCCCAGCACACTGAGTGGATGGGACCAGTAATGGCTGCTTCTTCAGCCCATCATCCCTCCACACACAGCCTTGCCAGGCATTGGCCTGGGGGCTGGATTCAGGGATCATTTATCATCATGATGTGAATCACACAGACAGTGGGACAAAAGGGAACGTCCTGGGCACATGCAGGGAGGCTCTGCCCTGTGCAGTAAGCCTGGGAGGGCTCCCCCTGCTGTTGATATTTGGGGTCAGCACTAAAGACAACATGGTATAAGCCAGTCCTTTGTCATCTACAGCATTGTCTTGAGCAGACACATCATGTGATCAAACCTCTCCTTTCCAGGATCATTGGAGACTTTTCTAGAATAATGGCAAAGCTGATTGCTGGCAAAATGACACCTGTGAAGTTACCTGGTGATTTAGAAGTCATCAGGAATCAGTAGATTGATTCCTTGCTCCCTTCCTCACCCACCCCCACCTCAGGACATTGACTTATACTAGAAGCCTTAGCGGAGCTCTGTGTGTGTGTGTGTGTGTGTGTGTGTGTGTGTGTGTGTGTGTGTGTGTGTGTGTGTGTGTGTG